CACTATTTCTGGTGCCAAAGAAAAACAGGAAAATGAGACCTGTGACAAATTTAAAACCATTAAATGCACATCTAAAGAAAGTCCATTTCAAGATGGACACAATGAGCAAAGTCATAAATCTAGTGAAACCAAAAGATTGGGCAATTTCAATAGATCTGAGCGATGCATATTTCCATGTACCAATATTTCAGAAACATCGTCCGTACATGAGGTTTTGCATAGCAAATCAATGTTATCAATGGAAAGCAATGTGCTTCGGCCCAACATGTGCTCCTCGAATTTTTACAAAACTGGTGTCAGTGGTAGCTGCATATCTGAGAACTCAAAATATCAGAATGTCAGTATATTTAGACGATTGGTTGATAGTCAATCAGGACCAGCAGCAATTAGTTCAGGATCGCCTGAAATGTCTCAATCTGTTGGTTTCACTAGGTTTTATAATAAACACAGACAAATCAAGCCTAGTTCCAAGTCAAGTGATAACATATTTAGGGGGAGTTTTTCATTTAGACAAGGGCTTAGTTTATCCAACAATGGAAAGGATAGAGAAGTTACAGATATTACTAGAAAAAATGCTTTTAGGTCAGAATTTGGCTCTAGATTTTTTGAAAGTTTTGGGGATGATGGCATCATGCATCGAGTTGATTCCCAATGCTCGTCTGTTTATGAGACCCATTCAACTTCATTTGTTAAGTTTTTGGAGGCCAGTCAGCAAAAATATGTTGGCACATGTTCCATTGACACAACATCTGAAATACCATCTTTTATGGTGGAAAAATTCAGCCAACACGCTGAAAGGCCAATATTTGCAATTGCCGAAAATCAATGTGACCATAACGACAGATGCTTCAATGACAGGTTATGGGGGTCATATTGGAAAACAGATTTTTCAGGGAGTTTGGAATTCGGAACAGAAGCTTTTGCACATAAATTGTTTGGAAATGAAAGCTGTAATTTTGACAGTTCAGCATTTTCTGAAAATTTTGAAGGGAAAATGTGTTCTGATAAGGAGCGACAACACAAGCGTAGTACAAAACATAAATCGTCAAGGGGGGACGAAGTCCCCAAATTTATGTTACTTGACTTGGGAGCTATGGCAGATAGCAATTCAAAACAATATAGTCTTGAAAGCAGCCCACATTATGGGCAAGAAGAATGTTTTAGCGGATCATTTGAGTCGGGAAAAGGTTTGTCCGACAGAATGGTCTCTGAACAAGTCTATAGTGCAGCAGATTTTTCAGATATGGGGAACCCCATTGATAGATTTGTTTGCATCATGGGAAAATCGCCAGACAGAAATATTTTGCACTTGGATTCCTCATCCCAATGCTTTGGCCTTGGATGCTCTGACAATTCCTTGGGAGAACATGTACGCGTATGTGTTTCCCCCAATTTGTCTGATTCCAAGGATATTGCAATATATGAGGCAGTTCCACTGTCAGATAATTTTGATTGCGCCCCAGTGGCCAAGGAGACACTGGTACACGGAGATCTTGCAGTTACTGATAGCTTGTCCAATAAGACTACCAGTAATGGACAATTTGTTGTCTCAGGCCAAAATGAAAATTTTTCATCCAAATCCAGAAATATTAAATCTGACAGCATGGCTTCTTTCGACAGACGTTTTAAAACAGAGGGATTTTCTCAATCAGCAAGAACATTGCTCTCAGCTTCATGGCGAGATGGTACAAAAAAGGACTATTCCTCAAAATTCGAAAAGTTTAATAGCTGGTGTGGTAAGAGACAAATTGATCCATATTCAGCAAATTTAAATCAGGTTGCTGATTTTTTGGCTTATTTATTTCAGTCTGGTTTGCAATATAGGACAATAGCAGGTTATAGATCTATGTTATCTGCAGTGTTACCTCCAGTGCAAAATTTTCCTGTCGGCCAACACCCTAACATAGTAAGGATTATTAAAGGTGTATTTAATTCTAGACCACCAAAGGTAAAAATTCTACCTGAATGGAACTTAGAATTGTTATTACAGGCTCTTGAAAAGAAACCATTTGAGCCTATGCAGGAAGTTGATTTAAAGCATGTAACTTTAAAAACAGTGTTTTTAGTTGCCATAACTACATTCAGAAGATGTAGTGATTTGCAAAGTCTCCGTATTGATGACAAGTCAATGAGAGTTCAGTGTAAGGGTATTACTTTTGTAAGACATGGCTTAGCCAAGCAAGATCGACAAAAGCATTTTGGAGAAAAATTATTTGTTCCAAGTTTTCCAGAGGAAAACTTTGATAGATCCAAAAAGAGCTCTTTCAGTTTATTTGGATAAAACTAAGAATTTTCGGAAAAAGTTAAGTGAATCAGAAAGAATTAAACTTTTTCTGGGAATAAATGAACCACACAAACCAGTGTCAACCGCAACTATTTCAAGTTGGATTGTTCAGGCTATTAGAATAGCTTATGATGATGACAATATGAAAGTAAATGCACATTCAACACGTGCTATAGCTCCAAGTTGGGCTTTGTACAAAGGGGCTTCTTTGAAATCAATTTTAGATTCTGCCGACTGGGCAGTTGAATCAACTTTCGCAAAGTTTTATTTGCGAGATTTTGATGCTACTAAAGTTTTAGAATAGGATGTAAGCATACAAATTCATTTATTTGTATGGTACTTTGTTTGTTCATTGCAGTATAACATGTAGCTGTATATAGATGTAAATAGTGGGTTTTTTGTTATGGTGATAGTATTTTATCCTGTTCGATAGAAATTTTGTTTGTGGAGTTTTTCTTGAAGAGAAGGAAATTCATCCTCCACCGTTGAATGAATTCAACACTGCTTTTAAATCAGTGAGTATATTCTAATTAAATAAATGTCATTTTTCACTGGTAGGTATAATGAATATTATTAAAAATGGAACAATTTGTTCCCAAGTTGAGATTTTTAATAATAGAGTTATACCTACCAGTGAAGGGGCCACCACCATCCCCTAGATGAATTTCTAGATATGTGTATATTGAAGGAACACGACAAAAATCAAAACTGATTAGAATACCTGTATATTTACCTGTATTGGGGTGTGTAACACAGGTAGGGTGATCGGACATCCTAGGGATGTTTTTATTTCTAGATCACCTAGATGTTTGCGATGAGAACTAGTTAACGTGAATTATATTCTAATTAAATAAATGTCATTTTTCACTGGTAGGTATAACTCTATTATTAAAAATCTCAACTTGGGAACAAATTGTTCCATTTTTAGCATAAAAAATTCGCAATTGGGATGAGACCCATTTGAAAACACCTGGAATCATCCCTGACATAGATTTTTTATTTTTAGGCCCCATTTTCAAATTGTCCACATTAAGGTCCAAATGATCCAAAATTGAATTCTTTGGGTTCTTTGATATGCTGAATCTAAACATTTAGATTTTTGATTTTGGGTCCAGTTTTCAAGTTCAAAAATTAAACTTTGTTTGATTTCAACAAAAAATAAATATGTATGGGGTTCTTTGATATGCTGAATCTAATCGTGAATTTAGCTATAGATTATGTACCGGTATTTTGGGACCCATTATCAAATTGGTCCACATTGTGGTCCAAAGGGTCCAAAATTAAACTTTATTTGATTTTATCAAAAAATTGAACTATTGGAGTTCTTTGATATGATGAATCTAACCATGTATTTATAGTTATGGATATTGGACCACAATAGGTAAATGGCCAAAAGACCGGGTGATAAAAAACCTAAAAAATGAACATACATAGTACATCAACGCATTTAAACACCATTTTTCCAAATAACTTGCCTAGTACACAAATCTATATCATGTATATTGAGTACTAAAACATTTATCTGATAAAGAATAGAAATATGGTTGCCTGCACAGTTCCAGCTCATAAGAAAATACAAATTATTGCAGGAGGGTGCCTGCTACCCTCATACAATAAATTATCATTAAAATAGAATTTGGGCATTCATTGAATAAACATGTGCCTATCAGGTTATAAAGATGATCTGCTACACCACTGTTATACATGTGTCGATATGATAAAAAGCAGCAATCCAGATTATAATGATAGTCAGATGATGCATATAAGTGAATTATCACAACAGTACAGTCAGTATTACAGCAATTTTAAAATCCCTTTTATTTATTCCTCAACCAACAGATCTTGAGGTCATCCAAGTAGACAGTTCTTCAGTACTTTGATTAGTAATGGCAGCACTGTTGGCTGGCAGGCATGATCATAAGACATACTTTTAAAACTACATACCCAAAGGATGATTACATTTAATTTTGGCTACAATTGGAGCAAAAGCTTCAGTAAAGATTTGTGTAAATGTTAAAGAAAGATGAAACGGACACCAGATGTCAAGTGGTGAGAAAAACTCACTTGGCTCATGGGCCATGTGAGTTAAAAGACCAAACCAGCCAGCAAATTGCCAAAACTTATAACATTCATACTCGATTAAACTGCTCTTAAGATGAAAGTCAAACCCAATTTTTTTCAGTTCATTTGTTAAATGTTTACATCAACCATTTGTTTATAAGCATGAGAAGTTTAGGAACTATTATTTCAGTGTGTATAGATTTAAAGGCTCACCCAGCTACACCATGGTTGATGAGGCTGATGTCTAAGGAAAGAATTAAAACAATAGTTTCAATCTTTCCAAGAATAAGATTAAGCTAAAAAAACTTTTGTACACAGTGCAAAATTTCTGTTGAAATATTTCATCCAACATGTCTTTGTCAGATAATATGCATGCACTTCTTAGAAAAATATAACGTTAAACAGGTAAAAGAAATCGAGCTAAAATGACAACCAGAATGCACTAGTCTCATTCCAGTAGTGCAACAATTCACAGTTAAATAACATCAATATATAACAAAACATTTAATCCATAAACCAGTACAATTAACAACATATTTTATTTAAACTGTCTTAAGTTTTACAACATTTATCTGTCTGATCAACAACTTTTGGAAAAGTATAAAATATCACATGAATATATATCCTTTTATACAGGTAAACAGTAAAAATTTACCTGCATTCTGCCAACCCGTTTTTTAGCTGATCTGAAACCACTTCTCCAGACAGCTTTGAGTGCCTCATGGTTGAGCTTGACATCCAAACCTTCTGGCGTTACTGAAAAGGAGAAGGCTACGGCAGAATGAGCTTCAGCCATGTTGCAACTTTTTAATTAAATCTGTGTAGAAAAAAAAAACAGCTATTAGAGCATTGTCTGAAATTTCATTAAAATCTAGCAACTTTTTTTTTTCTATATCCAGCAATTTAGACCAATTGCAAAATAAGACTTTACATGTATATACATATATATGCATAAAATGTACCTAATATCTGTTCTATTTTGCGTCTTCAAATAGATATAATGGACAGATCGAGCAGGACATGATGATATGAGCTTGCCTTGGACGGGGAATAAACAAGACAAGTCATTACAACTTTAAATCTTTATTCTCTCATCACATTACAACAACTAAAACAACAAGAGTGCACACGCTGAAATGTCTCGCCTATTATACTGACCATTGATTTTATGTTGATAGTCCTACATATAAAGTTTTACTACACATGCTACAAGTATCACATTAACATTTATGATCCAAGAAAATGAGGTCAAGGTCAGATAAACCAAGGCGGAAATACATGAACACCTTTATTACAATCTTCCATACACAGATTTATATAGATGACCTATTGCTTATAGTATAAAACAAACAGACCAAACCATGGAAATTCTATATTGACCAATGAACCATGAAAATGAGGTGAAGGTCAGATGATACCTGCCAGACAGACATATACACCTAACAATCATTCCATACACCAAATATATTTGACCTATTGCCTAAAGTTTAAGAAAAACAGACCAAAACACAAAAATTTAACATTGAGCAATGAACTTTGAAAATGACGTCAAGGTCAAATAAAACCTGCCAGACTGACATGTACATTGTAAAATATTTCCATACACCAAATATAGTTGACCTACTGCATACAGTATTAGAAAAACAGACCAAAACACAAAAACTTAACATTGAGCAATGAACTGTGAAAATGAGGTCAAGGTCAAATAAAACTTGCCAGACTGACATGTACATCATAAAATATTTCCATACACCAAATATGGTTGACCTACTGCATACAGTATTAGAAAAACAGACCAAATCACAAAAACTAAACTATTACCACTGAACCGTGAAAATGAGGTCATGGTCAGATGACACCTGCCAGTTGGACATGTACACCTTAACTTACAATCATTATTTACACCAAATATAGTAGACCTATTGCTTATAGTATCTGAGATATGGACTTGACCACGAAAACTTAACCTTGTTCACTGATCCAGGAAATGAGGTCGAGATCAAGTTAAAACTGTCTGACAGACATGAGGACCTTGCAAGGTACGCACATACCAAATATAGTTATCCTATTACTCATAATAAGAGAGAAATTAACATTACAAAAAATCTTTACTTCTTTTTCAAGTAGTCACTGAACCATGAAAATGAGGTCAAGGACAATGGACATATGACAGACAGAAACTTCATATAATAAGGCATCTATATACAAAGTATGAATCATCCAGGTCTTCTAACTTCTGAAATATTAAGCTTTTAAGAAATTAGTTGATGCCGTCGCCGCCGGCGGATCACTATCCCTATGTCGAGCTTTCTGCAGCAGGCTCGACAAAAATCATGTCGTATTGTATTGGTATAGTTGTCAAATCTTTCATTTGCGTATTTAAGGCAACAGAAAGTTTGGGCTTCAAAAGTCTACACAATTATTGACTTTATACAGAAAATTCGCCCTTATAAAACATTTAATGTTTCACAAATAATACATGGATACAAAGTAAAATCATTTTTAAAAACACTGCAAAAAATTTCATTCTGATTGGTATAGTGGTATTGTCAAAAAGTGCGTTGAAATGAACCATGGTATAGCAAACATCAAATTTCCTCACAAAATGTTTTCACACACTATAGATAACGCTCAAAGATCATGATCATGGTAAAAAGATATCGACTAGTAAAATGCCTTCACATGTTAAAATGAGCATAGAGCATGACATGAGAGAATTAGTTTTTAATTTTTATATATTTTCAGAATTTGCTATGGATAATTTTGGGACTAAAATTTGAGGAAATATAACTTCTATTAATGTGGCCTTTCAGAATTGTCTATAATGATATATCCATCCTTAAATCACTACTAAAAAAAATCCAGTAAAAATCATTATAAAATTCTGCTATAAACAAATTGTCTTGATTTATGCAATGATTTAAAATTATTAAATTCAAATTATATATCCCTGAGTCTGTTGTTTATGTTTCAGACATCAGCTTATGCCTGAATAAAACTTTACAGGATTTATTTAAGCTTAATGAATTACATGTAAGCTTCTTGCCACTTAAAATTCATATAAAATTCATGGCTTTAATAGACTTATAAGGGCTCAATTGCAACTGCATATTGATCAAAAGTTTGGTTAACATACTTGATATGTTGGAGTCTTTTTTAAAGCTTTCTATGAATGGTATGGTTTTTGCTCATTGTTGATATCTGTACTGTGACCTATAGTTGCTAATAGTTACATCATTTGGTTGACTCATTGGCAATGATACCACATCTTCTTATTCTTATATTGCCAATTTTGTTGGCATGTTTGCTCAAGCAAATTAAAAGATTGACATTGGGTGGGTGGAGTTTTTCAGTCTATATATATACAGTATAACCAGATTTGATTGGAAGGTTGAAATGTTTGACACAGTGTTAACTACTTTTTTTAAAGTGTTATACACGACATACTTTGTCGTCACACTATTCAGTATTGTATTTGTTTTTGCTTCATTTACCTAAACATGGCAAATTTTGGATGACGAAACTATCGTTATGTTCAATATTATACAATTATAGCCTTTGTATGAGGTCGTTACAAGGATATATACTTCTTTGGGTCGATATATCCTGTATTGACCTCATACAAAGGCTACAATTGTTATATTTTAAATTTCCTTCCATATTTGTATCAAAATCGTCAGTGAATTATATCTCTTTTTGATCATTTAATTTTGTTGGAATTTTATAGATATCAAATTCGGCTTAGCCACAATCAGATGTACATTTTGTGTTTCACATGAAGTCAAAAATGAAGATCACATCAGGCAAAAACCCTTTTGATATTTTGGTACAGAAATGGTTTAAATTATGAAAAATGGCCGTCATAAGGCTAACACTTGAAGCATTTATATAATTACATGCAGTTTTGGGAAGAAATATTTAATATTTTTATTAAATAAATGGTGTTTTAAAACTGTCTAATTTTCGTTAATGGTTGCCCTCAAGACATGGTCACCAGTTTCATATTTTTGGCCAATCACAAAGATAACAAAATATGTTTAGAATTATTGAATATCAAACATTTTAATCGAAAAAAAAATGACAAGAACATGTTTAACTCACAATTATTTCAAACAACAGTAGCTTTCTTTGATCATTACTCTGATCTGATCAAACTATTTCTAAAATAATCTATTAATAACAAAACTTCAAAAAAAAACCTTTCTTTTGGTGTATAGAACATTAAAATAACTTGATGCATATTCTTACAATAAACAATCAAAGTTAGCAATACAATTTATATGTTTTGTCTACGGACAAGACATTTTATTGATATTTAATTAAATGCATCATTAAAACTTAATTTTGACATAATTGAATATGTTCTCTTGACAAAATAACATACATTTTATCATGTTTATCTATCAAATGATGCTGAACCTCGAGGAAATTGGAAACAAATACATTGTGATAATGTCTACAGACAAGACATTTTATTGATATTTAATTAAATGCATTAAATAGATAATTGTTAAAATTAAGATTAAGTTACCCATTTAATTTTAAGCTGTGTTTTTTAATTTTTGGAAAATATAAAAATGTACCCATGATTCTTTACATATCTCAAAATTTTATTGATTAAGCAAAAATGAAGACACATTCTTTCAACTGAAATCCATAAGTCTGACTGTTTAACTATTAAACTTTTATTAAAACTCAATTTTGACATAGTTGAATGTGTTCTCTTGAAAAAATAACATACATTTTATCTATCAAATGAGGCTGAACTCAAGGAAATTGGAAACAAATAGATTGTGGTAATGTCTACGGACAAGACAATTTCAGTTGAATAAACAATCTGTTAAAAATAATTGTGATTATATTTATGGTGAAAATAATGAGTTTTAATGTGTTCAAAGAACTTTGATCACTTATAAATTAGATTTAAGTTCCAAAGTAGACAAATAATTGAATTCAATACTTGTTATGTACAAGTGTCTTGTCCGTAGACACTTCCTCATCTGCTGGTAATCCTAAAATGCAAAAGATAAAGTCAGAGAGAGAGAAATACTATTTCTTCATTTGATTAAGTTTATCTTTTAAGTTATGAAGAAACTGGAATAATAATATTGAAGTAAAATAAGGTATGCTTTTTATGACTGACAATTTGCCACTTTTTAAAATCCACTCCTGTAAAGTAATTTTACAAAAAATGAGAACAGTTAAATAACCATTAATTAATCAAAAATAATATATTTCTAAGTTTAAACAACACATAGGAAAAAATTTAGATCCATAAAGCCAAGCAAACTTGATATAAAGTCATGTCTACGGACAAGACAAGTGTCTACGGACAAGACATTCTGACATTTTTTTCAAATTCTTCCTCTATTAAAAGATGGTAGAAATTAATGTTTGTAGTGTTTTCATATCTACAAAAGAGCAGGATCTTAGCAATGCAACATATATGTTATTACACTTCAAGTTTACTAGGAAATGAATGTCTACGGACAAGACATTTTTTCACTTTATTTGTATATCCATTTTAGATGGCATATATCTCCAGCTAGGGTACTGCAATATAGATATATGAGGTAGTTGTTGCTAATTCATATACAAGAAGAGAAAACAAAACACATAATAGCATAAATTTCATTTATTTTTCTCTTTTATTACTACACTATACAAGGTAAAAACAAAAATACAAAATTGCATAACGAACGCATAGTATTCCACTTTTTGTCATAACTTTGTAACCACTGAAAATTTTTCGTTGCAACAACCAGCAAAAGAAAGATGAATAAATTGTCTATAACAGTGAACCAATAATGTAGTTCA